ATCTATTCTTCTATAGAATAATGGACCAAAATACACTCCTTGGAAAGGAGGACACCATGAGCCCTACTACTCCAGCAATTTCTCTGATGGAAACTAGTTTTGAACTTAATAATTTCTGACATGCTATCTTTAGTTTTGATATTTTCTCTGAAGTAAGCCGTACACTCATTTCTACTGAGTTTAAAGTAAAACCAAGGTAAGTTATTACTTGTGAAGGTTCTATGACAGATTTAACAGGATGCACTGTGAAGCCGGCCTGTATGGAAGCTTTGACTGTGGCCATAACATTTAATTTTGCATCATCTAGTGAATCTCCAATTAAAAGTGAGTCATCAATAAATGATGTGTTGATGTGACCCAATTTCCGCAAATAGGAAAACAGAACCTTGGTAATTTTAGTAAAGGTTCTTGGAGCTGACCCTAACCCATTAGGAAGGCATGTAAATTGGAAGAGCATATCTTTCCAAACAAATTTAAGTAATTTTCTATCCGAGTTTCTAATATTAACGGAAAAGTAAGCATCTTTCCAATCCACTGATGCCATAAAGCAATTAGGTTTAATTAAATTGATTGCATGCTCTAAATGTTCCATTTTGAAATGTTTGTAGATAACCTCATCATTTAATTCTTTTAAATCGAGGATTAATCTTAGCCCCCCATCCTTCTTTTCTCTAGTAAAAATGTTGGAGATAAATTCTCCCTCTTCATGATAAGTTCTTTCAATAATATTTTTCTTTTCCAATTCTAACAATTTAATTGATATGGCTGCTTGTTTCTCTTTGGGGAACTGAAAAGGGTGGTTGAAAGATAATTGGCTTGGATTATTAAGGAGTTCTATATTACAACCTAAAATGTTTGTAATTATGTTCTTATCTGATGTAATTTGTTTCCAGAATTTGATATGCTCTTTCAATTTTCCAGCCTTATAATCTAGTAAACAATTATTCAAATCATTCTTGACAAAGTTTTTAAACTTGTCCCAATCTGAAATTCTTACCTCATTAAAATTCAGAATAGGTGTGTCATTAACTATTTCTTATTCTGGGATGTTTGGGTAAACTTCCCCTTCCCCCTCTGATTCTGAGGTCTTCTGCGGTAATCTAAAAAAGACTTTTGTCTTCTATTATCATTGTAGTTAGATCTGTTATGGTAATTGTTATTTCCATATCTTGATTGGTTTGATTTGTTGTATCCAAAACTATTTGCTGTGGTACTATATGATGGAGCACTAAGGGCTTGGTTGGTGTCTTTTAAATCTCTTAGTTTTCTTCCTAAGTCATCACCAAATAAATTCTTAGAAGTACCATTGTTCACATTATTTGATGGATAAGCTAATGGTTTCATTCTTTGATTTAAATCAATTTTAATCGTATCACGTCTCTATTGATTTATGTCTTTAAAAACACTGCCTAATAGGGTCAAAGAATCCATAGCCTTTTTTACAGTTTCAGTCATTTCCTTGTTAACATCTGGAAATTTCTTTTTGATTTGTATCAACTGATCAGTCAAATTTGTAACAGCATATGTACACTTGACAATTTTATTACCAAGTTTCTGGAATTTAACATCTTTAGTGCAGGTTCCAGACTTCATAAAAGCCCATATTTCACCATTCACATCTGGTAATTGTATATCAAGGTTGCCAGGTCTAAGATACTTGTCAAAAATATCTGTAATATTCTCTTTAGACTTATTATTAATGAATAAATTAGTCACAATACTGGCCACTTTTGGGTTAATCTCTGTCCCAACTTTCTCTTTTAAATTGTATTCCTGTTCTAAACTTTCTTCAAAGTCTGAATCTTTATCAGATGTCTGTTTGTCCTGTAAGAGTTCATCAATTTGACATATCACATTATCACTATTGACTGATCCATCTTCTTTGTACTGATGTGATAACTTTGGTATTTTGTACCTGTTTTGGGTGAATTGGATGTCGTCATCAGAGGCAGATAGATCATGTATAACAATGTTAACTGGGTCAGTAATGTGTTTACGTTTGACTCCATGACCATGGGTATTCTGATCAGCTGAAGTTGAAGCATAATATTCATCAATATTGACTTCTCTAGGCCTAGTTCTTTCAACTTTACGTGAGTCATGGATTGAGTCTATAATGATATCTTTTAATTCAGTACGAATCTTCAGCATTTCACTTTTGAAAAGCCCCATAGAAACGGTTTCATTATCTTTCGTGTTACTGTCTAGTTTTGAGTTGGTCTCAGCCAACACCACCGTCGTGTCATCTATACTGGTAGAAGTGGACGAGTCCACTTTAGAATTTGGGTCAGGACAAGATGTCGAAGTTTGAGGTGATTCAACTCTTTGACCGCTTTGTTTGCAGTTCTTTTCCGTTTTTCTTGACCCTTATTAATGGATTTACTAGTAGAGGACAACTTTTTGTCAAAAAGAATTGAAGATAAATCGAATTCTCCGTCAATAGTGACGTTCTTCTCTGAAGAGTTAATGGGGATTTCCGCCATTTCTATTGTTAGTAAAATGTACTTTCGCTTTCGAAAGATAAGTAAAAACAAGTTCAACACTTGAAATATTAATAAATTCCAATTGTAGACGCTAAAAAGCGATGCGGGAAAGCCTCGGGAAACTTTCTTAAAAGTTACGCCCCAAAACCGATAGAAAATATTCAGTTACTGAGAGAACTCAGAGCTGTAAAATTTTCGATGCTTTCCCTCTCGAAGCTGGCGTGCTAATGAAGTAGGAGGCTGCGTGCGCATCTCATGGGACCTCTAAGACTATGTCATCTGACGAATATAGAATTTGATATAGACTTTAACATAACCTGATATAACATTGATAGGTTGCATAAATTTTTCAGTTAGTTGGTTTCATAGTTGCTGATTATGTAACAAGTGCTTCAGTATATCTTATATAAATCTTATTTGGAATGCTCTTTTATTTTATTTTTTTATTTCATCTAGGGTGTTTTTAAACCTTGGTGAGGTGTCTTTTGGCCTTCAGTTCATATATAGTTAATTATACTTAAATTCAGACTAAAAAAAACATTCGACGTATGCAATGAAATAATGAAATAAAGGTCAACAACATGTCGCGGAATCAAAATATATATTTAGGATCGAATAAATAGATCTAGATTATTGATATTTGTCACAAATAATTCGGGTTTATGTTAATTTTCCAAAGAAAAGAAAAAGCTTTGTAACAGCTCGGTATTATCGATTAAATTTATTAAGTCTGTTCATTTGTTATAGAACCTTTCAAGGTAAGAGTCACTAAAAATTGGTTTATTTTCTTTTAATTTCAAAGGTTTTAGATTGAAATGCACGAACTACACACATTAGCAGATTTTGGCTACATGGTCGGAATCTGATTCATGGTATTTTCCTAGGCCAAATTTGTTGTTCATCACATAAATGGGTATTTTTTAAAACATCTTGTATGGTGGGAAAGGAGGTATTTTCAAAATAATTTCCACTATGGATGCCAATGAAATAATAACTTGTTATGTACTCATTTTCTTTATTTCATGTTTAGTTACTTTTTTGTTTTTGGGTTCTGTTATTTTTCGAATATTCGAATATCATTCTTTGCTGATTGACGTGTAGTCCGAAACATCTGCTTCTAATCCATCCTCTGATAGCTATTTGGATAGCGGTTTGATATCGCTTTCAGTGATTAGAGTGGTTGAAAGGTAAAAGTTACTATCCAACAGAAAGCACTGGCACAGAGTTAAAGCAATGATCACAAATGTTAAGATTAATATGTTAAAATGGAAATTCGTACTCGTAGTCCAGAGACATAAAAAACAATAAGTTTATAATAATAATAATAAAACTGATACTTTAATTCTTGCACTGAAATTATAAATCTATGATTTATTAAAAATTAATTGAAATTGCCAAATTCCCATTTAAAGAAAACCTTAATGCTAGATAGGACTAATGAAATAAATGAAATAAATAAAAACCTTTTTTCAATGCCCCAACATTGCACTGAAATAAATGATAATGATAAGTCAATAATGTAAATATAACAAAATATGATAGATTGAATCTAATCAATTGGATCAAGTCTACCACGAACAAGGATATCATTAAGGTTTCTATTTTTTGAGTACGCGGTGGCTAGTTTTTTTTTTATAAAAGATGGTCGGGAATTTATCATGCAAATCGGAATAGTTACGTTTTACAACCTGGCGTGAAATACTGTTCTATTGCATGACAAATGGTACAATCTGTGAATCATATTGGATATTGAAACAGATGACAGATTGTGGTTGGTGGGTGAAGATTTCAAAAGGGTTTGTCAAGACGATGGGTGATATCGAATCGGTGATCGTTTATTCGTTTTCTTAAAGAATTTTTTGTCTCACCTACGTATTTTGTGGACATTTTTCGCAAGATATTAAGTAAATTATGTTAGTACTAACTCACGAAAGTTGACCGTTTATCGAAAATTTTTTGCCGTTTATTTGATTGGAGAAAATACCGGTTGTTAAAATATGCTTGCATGTAGAACTGCACGGCTTGGATCCGAAAGATTGATTACAAAAACGCAATTAGATTTTCTTTGTTCAATATTTGAAAGTGTTTACCTTTAATGCTGCGAAGGTATTGTTTAGAAAGCCCCCGCTCTCGCAATGTTTTGAAAACTATCTGACATACATTGTCGAAATCAATGTTCATTGTGACTTAATTATTTCTGAAAAAGTGTGTTTTGGGTAAAAACATCAAAAGTTGTCGAGTATCCATTGCTTTAAAATATACTTTGATATCTGCCTTACAAGTTACATTAAAATCCGGTCCTTTGAATACTGTTGTGTCGAAAAAGTCTATGCTATGTTCGCTGATAATGGCCGTAAATTTAATAGAATTTCAAAATATTGCCAGAATTCTTGATTTAAAAAATGTCATCAAGGAAACGCCCATAGAATAGTGGTTTAGAAAGAGAAATTGGGTCAATTTCTAATTTTTTCAATAAAGTCAATGGTATCCTTAGGACATGGTGGATGTTGGCAAGCTAAAGGCAATAAAAATGCTCAATATATTTTGAAATCCGGTACGACTGACTAGAGCAGTCTGAAATGATTGGCTGACCTTTAGGTATTTTGTTCGAACGAAACAATGCCGTTTGTGTATAAATATGCTGTTGAAACATTAGCCGAAAGGTAATCAAATTGTTATCGGAGATAATTTTTTTTTATCTTTTAGTGTTCGTATACGACATCATTTATTTTTTCAATTTTAAATTAAAAAACTGGAATATAGTTATATAAAATAATTTTGAATTAAAAACTTGAAATTTCACTCAGTAAATCGTTTTAAAACTGATTAATTAGTTTTTAATTAAATATTATTGAATTATCACCTGTGTGGAAATTCAAGTTTTTAATTCAAAATTCTAGAATTTTCACCCGGGTGAATATTAATTTTCACCCAGGTGATAATTCAACAATAGTTAATTAAAAACTAATTAATCAGTTTTAAAACGATTTGCTGTCAAAATTTTATGATTCGTTCATATGGGAGTCACGCAATCTTCTCATCACATGAAACTTCAAACCCAAACATATTATGTATTATTGAAAAGTGAATTCAATTATTGCTAATATTTTGAATATTTTTTTTGTTATAAAGTGTTAGATAAACGGCAGCTTGAAGTTGAATTTACGGCAATTCGCCATTTTTTCTTAACTCGGACGTTCCTTTATGAAAATTTCGTACAAAAATTCGTGCGACTAAAAGTTTTTTTCAGAAAGCTTAAAAATGTACATTTGTTTCCTAATATTATTTTGTTTATAGGCAATCGATTCTGGGTTGCACAGCTTGAATTCTACTTTTTTAAAGGTATTGTAATGGAAATACAGATTTTTTCTGCCTCATGCTATATTATTCTATAGCCATGAAACATGAATTAATTTCAAGCGTGACACATATACTTTAACTCATAAAGGTTTCAAATTGGGCTATTAGCCAGCTGCAGTTTCCCGTACTTAGTGACGCAGTTTACACGCGCTCACTGAAGCGTTAGATTTTGCGAATGCGGTATTGTGCTCTACCCACAAATTGAAGATGGCCAGGCAAAGTAATATACGCCCACTGGCAGCTTTGATTTTAATTAAAAGTATTTGGCAGTACAATTAACAGTATGAAATATTCAACCTTTAATCTTACACTTCTTATGAACTTTTTGGGGCGATATTGAATAATATTACAAAGTTTCATCAAAATTACAAACACTAACACCACGTTTCATCAAAATCTGTCAATAATTCAATCTTCTAGATCATTTATGTGCTACAAAATTAAACACGTTTTCATGAACAAGAATAATAAATATTTTTCGATTTTCGATAGGGCCCATCCTGGAGTGATAACAAACACTCACACACAGTTTCGTCAAAGTCCGCCAAGAATCGTGCCTTCTAGTGTGTTTACGTGCTAAAAATTGAACGCATTTTTCAGAACAAGGGCAATAACTAATACTAAATAATTTTCGTCTTTTCTGATTTCCGATTGGTTTCATCCTTGGATGATAATAAACATTTACGCCAAGTTTCTGTCAATAATTGAACCTTCTAGATTGTTTACAAGCTAAAATTAAACGCGTTCAAGGTCAATAACTCATACTTATTGTAAGAAGAAACACTAAATTAAATAAAATTATTTATTGGCGTGAAATGGTACGGTACAAGGATAATTATATATGTATATAAAGTTCATTTTTTTCAAAAGTTCATTATAATCATTATCATCATCATTTTCATAATCATCATCATCATTATACATGTAATCATTTACATAATCATCACGATCATAAGTTCCATAATATCATTCATTATATCATTTCATTCCATTGACCGATGCAAAGTGTCGGTCACATCAGTAGACCCTTATCATGACAAGACCGAGAGATACAAGGTAACAAGTCGTGAAGGTCTATAATATTTGTGATGATTTTTGCTACATGATCCTAATACATCAATGAGGTATCAGGATCACCGCCATAACCATGGTGGATCGTCACAAATATTCTGACCGATATTATCACGCCAATAAAATTGAATTTTAACACTGAACAAATTGAAAAATTAGTAAATTTTAAAACAATTGTCAACATATCTATAGAATCGATCAATGCGAAACAGTAACCCTTTCATCAAGGCTGATAAGCAACATGTTTTGAGAATCGAACTAAGCGAAACAAACATGTTTTAATCATTGCCAATTAAAGTTATGCGTATGTACATGTAACATGTAACATATGTAACATGTTGGAATACTTTAAAACATTAATGCCAAACACCTAATTAACTTATATACATAGGTGGGTATTTAGAACCCAAGCCTTACTGAAAATATTCCAATGCAGCTTGAATGGTGTTAAGGTACATGTAATTTCCTGTTTGAGACAAATGTATTTGATGTGGTCTATATAATGCTTTTGCTTTAAAGCGTATGCCAGGATAATGGATGTATGCACCACCCATTTTTTAATTACCTGCAAAACGGTTTATTCTGATGCGTTGGAGATTAAGTGCTGAAGGATTTTCAGGAAGTTTTCGAAGCCAAATTTGAGACCAGACAACTTTGGTGTTAGGCATAAGTGGAGAAATATATTTGAATGTTGTACAGAGTATTTGTCGGAGTGCATATGATTTGATATGACCTAGATCATTCCCACCACAATGTATAAGGAGGATGTCAGGTGGACTTTCAATTGTGATAAGGAATTTTACCTTGCGATTCAAATTCAAAATTTGAAGACCCCCATAACCTTGCCACCATATATTTATATTACATTGCTCTAGTCCCAAATTCAGTCCTCTGGGCCGATCATGGGCATGAATACTTGTCCATTAAATAATAGATGATCTCACACACCACACCCTAGATTTTTTGGTGCATCTGAAACATTAGAAATTGTTTATTATAATAAATCTTTCGAATGCATCAAGGCCCTGTTTTATACGATTGTTTGGAATTTGATGATAAAGAGGCATCTAATAGTCTGTGGATTTCACCTCTGATATGATCTGCAGAAATTCCATTTGTATATCTGCCGGAGACTCTTTTGCTAATGGTGCCTCTCGTCGGAATCTCGCCCACTCCTGTCGAGAAATAGAATCAGCTATATTATTATCAAGCCAGAAATATGAACTGCCTTGAAATGACTATTGTACTTCATAATATAAAGAATGAAACAAGATGCATAACTCTCTTTGACTTCGAAGACTGTGAGTTTAGAATATACACAAGAGCCTCATTGTCAATACGAAAGGCCGTATGGCCTTGCAGAAAAAACTTAAGGACCCTACCATTGATTGCATTTCCTTAAGTGTCACTTTCTTTCTAGTCAGAAAGGATTTAATCAAGGTTAGGAGTTTTTTCGTTTTTTCTTGTGGAATACGGACAACAGATAGATAGGTGTCAATTTCAAAACCCAGGAATTTTAATGCAGTTGTAGGCTTGACTGTTTTTTCAGTCATGGAACGCCAAATTGTTCACATACTTCAAGAAAGCAATCCATGATAATTTTACAGTCTGGTTTACGCTGCATTCCAAAGAAAGTGAAGTCATCCCAGAAATGTTCCATATTTGATAATCCAGATTGATTTACCACGACCCTTTGTAGGAATGTGGAAAATGTCTCAAATATTTTAAATGAGATGGAGCACCCCGTGGGAAGACACTTATCAATGTAGAATTGATTTTGAAACGTGATTCCCAAGAGATCAAAATCTCCAGGGTTTACTCGCAATAATTGGAAAGCTGATTTGATGTCTAATTTGTTTAACAAAGCATTTTTTCCTGAGCATGCTATTTTATCGACCACAGAATCAAAGGATGTATATCTTACCGCACATAATTCCGGATCAATGAAATTATTAATTCCATTATTTGTTGGATTTGATAAATGGGTGTTTAACCGCCACTTTAACCGCCATTTTGAGGGGGTTGTCCTTGTTGGACTGAGTTATGCATATACAATAACCATATCTCGTAGTTAATATATCGCCAGGAGCTAGAAGGGCATGATGCTTTCTTTCTCTTGACCTGTTCATCATACGAACTCTATCCTTGGCCTTTAGTTCTTGCAGCACCAAGGCGAATGGTGTGCATATACTTGAGCAAGTCCTGACATTTAGTATGATGTACAAAGATGTAGACGCTCATAACGATCAAGAAAGCATCTGTCCAACGTTCAATGCTCATTGTGCCACTAGAATCCTTGCCTTTTTACAGGAGTTTTCCGTCAGAGTCTAATAAATAAATCTCTCTTGAGACTCTTCATTTCTAATTAATGACAGGAAATCTATATATTCGCCATTGATAATTGTGCTTTTAATGGCTTCCCCAATATTTGAACCTAAATTATCACGCGGACTTTCAATTGCATTGCTTTGACTATCAGAAATTAATAGAGGCTGGGTCTGATGCTCTGTCTCTACATAAGGAGATAACTCTCTATTACTACCAGACAGGCAGGTTTCTACCTCTTCTACTAATAACTCATCATTAGATCTATCATTGTAGACATTCTGATGACATCTGGACTCTTCTTGCTTGTGCGACTTGAAGAACGGGTTGTTTTTGTACTCGGCCGTCCACCAGTTTTCTTTGTAGAGGTTTGTTTCCCCATACTCGTAGCATGAAATAATGAAAAGGGGGAGTTTTTGCTTGTCGAAGAGAGAGGTCAACAACTAGCATAGGGGAAGAGTAAATTTATTTGATAAATATAAGGCTAGAGACCGTGACCTCAGTTGCACTAGACTATACCAATGCACTAGGCTATACACAGTGAGTGAGGACAGTTGGTACTCACATGTATTATATCCTATTGATACAGTACAATGACAACTAGAGGTCGATCTAAAAATAGAACAGAGGTCTAGCCTGACTCGGGCTAGGCTTAACACTGAACGACTTCAAGTTTTTAAAATTGGAAGTTAAAACTCATGTTGTGAAAGTAACACAAGGGATTCTTGGGACATTAGGACAAAAAGCTCCAGTCCCATTTTTAATGTATTTATGAAAGGATTACTAAAATAAAAGGGGTGACACTCACATAAAAGCAATGATCAACCTCCCTCTTCAACAAGCATGCCAAGAAAGGAAGTAGCTTGTCGACAAGCTAGGCTAATATTCCCTAAAAGGCAAACAACTCTAGATATAAGACTACAAATATATCATACTTACTGGTATTCCCCTTCAATAAATTCACCTATTGTTCAATCAGGTGTTATTATTATATTTCGATTTTGTGGATTTTCAAAACGGTTCATCCTTGGGTAATAGCAAACACTCACAACAAGTTTCATCAAAATCCTTCAAGAATTGCACCTTCTAAATTGTTTACGAGCATTTCAAAAACAAGGGCAATAACTAAATATTTTCGATTTTTCTGATTTTCAATAGGTTCATCCGTGGATGATTACAAATAATCATACTAAGTTTCGTCAAAATCAGTCAAGAATTATGCCTAGAGTGTTTACGAGCAATTGTGGACGGAAGGACGAACGGAAATGGGTTACAACAATATACGAGCCAGCAAATGATGCCGGCTATCTCCTCTAATCTTCTCAACGAGACATACGATGAGCACTCAAAGTTTTAGGATCTAGACTTTGCAGACTATATCGCCCTGCTGACACAACCTTTAGGACACGCAAAAAGACAAATCAGAGAGACTGAACCACGTCGCCAAGACCACCGGGTTGGAAATCAACACAGAGAAAACAAAGAGCCTGCAGGTCAATGTCACTCAGGTAGCGAAATTCATCTACCTGGGCAGCATTGTTAGAGATCAAGAGCTGATGGTTTTGTCACATCAGACCAGCGTGGAGAAATGAAAAGCTATTTTTTTACTGTACAGCGATTAACGCTTTCACCATCCAACCCACAATTCCGACAATAGCCTACATTTATCTGCTAGACTATACTAGTCTTCACATCTACTAAAAGATCATGTTCACTCTTACCCATTTCTACTTTTACTACTTGCTATCTAGCTAGGTCTTGTGTGTTTGTCCTACTGGTAGATATTCTTGTTCTAGTATGATTGATAGAAGTTGGAATATGGATCTTTCTTGATTGTTATTTTCATACGCCCAAATAGAAATGTGGACGTATATTGCCGTCGCCCCTATCCGTCCGTCTGTCCACATTTGCTGTATGCTCGATAGAGGCTATACAGCTTTTATCTGATCTTGATGAAACTTGGTATGCTTGTAGATATTGATAAGACCTCAATCAAGTTCGAAATTGGTAATAATCGGAGGAATGATTTCAGAGTTATTGCCCTTGACTTAGTAAAAACACGTTAAATTTGTCTTGTATGTTCGATAAAGGCTGCAATTTTTATCTGATCTTGATGAAACTTAGTATGCATGTATATATTGATGAGATCTCAGTTCAAAATTGGTAATAATCGGATGAACGATTTCAGAATTATTAGTATTGCCCTTGACTTAGTAAAAATGTGTTAAATTTGCCTTGTATGCCGATGAAGGCTACAAATTTGATCCCATCTTGATGAAACTTAGAATGCATGTATATAATAATGAGATTTAGGTCAAGTTTGAAATTGGTAATAATTGGAAGAACTATTTCAGGATTATTGCCCTTGACTTAGTAAAAAAAACGTCAATTTGGCTTGTAGGCATTCTATAGACTACAGTTTTTATCAGATCTTGATGAAACTTGAAAATATATTGATGAGATCTCGGTCAAGTTTGAATTTGGTCTTAATCGGATGAACTGTTTTTGAGTTACTACCTTTGACTTAGTAAAAACGCTTCAAATCTGGCTTGTATTCATCATACAGGGTGCAGTTTTTATCTGATCTCGATGAAGCTTGGTATGCATGTATATAATAATATTGATGATCTCAGTAAAATAGAAATGTTTTGGAGTGATTGCCCTTGAATCAATTCAATGCGTCTAATTTGGCTTGTAGGCCTGATAGAGACTACATTTTTATCCCATCTTGATGAAACATGGTATGAAATCTCAGTAAAGCTTGAAATTAGTAACAATCAGGTTTCACATATTAAGCCACTATACCAGACTTTGTTATCATTTCTGACAGCTGGTAGTGGGCGTATGTTATCTTGCCTGGCAAGCTATCTGCTTTATTTTGTGTTTATCTTTTTAGAATAGGGAGGTTTATTCAATTGGATCAGGGAATTTTGGGGGTATTTCTTTTTCCAGACAAAATTTGTAAAGGTGTGCCGATTATTGTAGTGTTCACATGTTTTGGGGCAATAACGGTTTTCGTTTTTTGATGATATTTCAGACATCACCACTGCTTGAAAATGAAATATTACAATATTCGTATATTTCTAGCTTTGAACTCTCAAGAATTCGTGAATTTTGTGAAAACGATTTAGGAGGACCTAGCAAGTCCCTAGTTTAGATGTGGTGAGCTTACTGTCAGTGGCTAATCAAGCATCATTTAGTAGAGGGGCCAAAAGGGACCCCAGGATTGTCAAAGGGGGCATTGGGATGGGGGCGATTGCTGACAAATTTGAAACTGGAAATAGGGGAGGGGGTGTAAAGCCGGACAGAATGTACGAATCAATTGTCGGAATTCGCTAATTTCACACAAGCACTATTATCTTGCCGTGGATAAGTTTTACGTATTGCATGAGGGTTTATTGTGATATCTATTTTGTCCATATAATATGTAACATTATATCATTACAGTTGCAGTAACAGAATGATTGGAAGAAGTCAATACAGCCTTGCTTGTAAAGTTATTGGTCTTGTTGCCACCTTTGTTATACTTTTTACAGCAATGTCTTTATATAACAATTCTGACCAAGATTTAAGTCGCCTTCAAAGTGCCTTACAAACTATAAAAATGCTCAAGATGAGCGCACAAGATTCAGGTGTGATGACTATTGTAAATAAAGTTTCGCAACCGGAAGTGCTCAGATGGGATGGTCAGAAGTGGATCAATTGGCCCAACTTTTGTTTAGACACTGGTATAGAGAATTATGTTCTTGCCGATTTACATGCTCCATCTGGGAACATGCCATTTTATGTTCATGATAGTAAACACGATAGCTATACATCTAGACACATTCAATCAAAGCATACATACGAGAAGTCGGATTTAGAACTTATGTATCGACATTTACAAGAAGATCAAGAAATGGGGTTAGTAGACGTCGGTGCTCATGTTGGATTATATTCCGCTACTGCAGCCTTATTGGGACGGAAAGTTTTAACTGTCGATGCTTTATATATGAATAACCATGCATGGTGCCATTCAATTGTTAAAAATAAATTTACAAATCAAGTTAAACAGATATACACCATCATGTCGAGTGAACATCGTTTGATGTATTTTAAAAAGTACGGCATACATGTCGGGGCAACTACAGTACATGTGGCAGAGGACCAATCTAAAAAAGTATCGCCGATGGATAAAAAATTCATTCATTCAGCAACCTTAGATGACCTATTGCCATTAATTACATTCAAGGTGGTTTTTTTAAAACTAGATGTTGAAAAGCACGAGTTGGAAGTAATTTTGGGTGGAGAAAGATTTTTTAGAGAGTTAAACGTGAAATATGTTCTTATGGAGTGGATTCATCATTTTGATAATAAAAGTCGAGATAATATAACAGAACAAATGACACGATACGGTTTCAAAGCATTTACTGCCGGAAGCGAAGAAAAGGAGGTTGATATGACCAAGCTTACGAGGTTGTACAACATCTTTTGGAAAAAAGTACTATAATTTGCGTAGGGAGTGGTATTTCAAATAGTGTTCTGTATGTTCAAATATGTTGGTATTTTTAAATTTAGTTTGTTACTTCCCTTTAAATGCTTGACAATGAACCGTACAGTCATGAACAGAATTTGTAAAAAAAAATGAAATGAATTTTACGTCCTACTTTTCTGCACCATGTGAGCTAATGAAGACGGGCAACGCCATGCAGGATGCAATGAGGGAAATTTTTCCAGGACAGCGGCATTAGCCTGCTCTTTTTCGATTTTCAACTGTCGAGGGATCTTTAACGTGCACGGCCTGTAGCACACGGGGCCTCGGTTTATTGTCCCATCCGAACGACTAGACACTTTTTCCATGTTATGAACAGAGTTTGTGCTTCCGATTATAATAAATGGGGGTGGAATTGTATGTATTCCAATTTCACTAATCATGAATCCAATGTCCACGTTGTGCACTCGCTGATCTGATATTTGAATAAAATAATTGAACAGACTTGACCGTAGTAAATGTACATGTATATTTAATATATATTTATTATTTTTAATTTATTAAAATGTAAAACGTTCATAATCTAAAAGAACGACTTTGATAAGCCAGCGATGTGAGGACACGGGAGGACGACAAAGAATCAGAATTTTTTCTTTGACTAGATAAAGGGGAATTAATGTCTGTATTGAATTTTTAAAAACAATTCACGATAACTTAAAACTGTCAGTGGTGTCGTTCCAATCAACTCAGATTTAAATGGGCACGGATAAGATCGAGAGAGATTATTTACCAAGAGGTTTAACCAACAACCAGATGCTAGCAAGGATACTTTGAGAACCTGTTATCCTTGTAAAATACAGTTCTTTGTTTCTTTCTATGGTCTAAACATGTCTTCAAATCTTTGATATATATCAGACGATTTTACGTTGAAATAACTCTCTCCTAAAAACTTCTCCTGTTGAAGTTGATAATTCAGGTCATATAAATATGATCTACATACTATATCTCTCAAAACGATCTGATGAGTAAAGGAGATTTTTCTTTTTATCATCATGATTGAATGATGTCATAATGTTGACCAGTTTTACGTTTGTTCACATTAATATCTAAGGTAAAGCTGAGCTAACTCTATTGGCGATTCAGAACATCTCATCGGATAAGTACCAACTATGATCAAATACGGTCGTCGATTAATTTTCAGCTAGTCGGAAGGTGGAACCCAACCATTGTCACTCTTAATCCACGAGTTTGAAACCAATGATCAAAAGTGACGGAAAAGGGTAATTCTGACTGCATCGAACACACATTACCAAATTATTCCATATTATTTGATTCCTAGAGATCTTGTATAAATCTTCTAAGAATAATGCCACATTCACATTTTTTCTGAAGAAATTGAATTAGAAAGGTGTTGGGAGAATTAATAATGAGATTTTTTCAATACAGTTTTTTTTATTCGGGAACATTTTTTTAAGGTATGGCTGAATTTTACATTATTATAAAACCTTTTCAGAGATAAGTATGCCAGCTTTACTGGAAAGCACATACCAAAAAAATCGATAGTCCATCGAAGCAAATAATATGAAATGGCGCGAGATTATGACTATGCATATACATACGAAACTACGTGTGGTTCTTACATAGAAATAACAACGTAGTTCATAGACGTTTTGAATCACTACATCGAATCGAATTTCCAATATTTCAACAAAGCCTTAAAATCACATAAAGTTTTAGAACGGCTTTATCTATGATTTTAAGGCTTTGTCGAAAAATTATAGTCTTATTCGACTTATTAAGAGATAACGATTTAAATGACAGTGAACTACGTTCGTGTGTTTTTTTTCAATGTAAGAACCATGCGTAGTTTCGTATGTATGCATATATTCATTAGATGGGACCCACTGCCAGCTCTATTATATTCTACTCAACCACAAGGACACAAGGCATAAAACTGGTCTTGACTGTTACTGGCCCTTATTAGTCTTTTCTTAGACGAAATGACCGTACACTTTTGAAAGAACTACGTCATGCTTAAAAGAGATGCAAAACTTGGTTTTTTTCGGTTTTGATTGATAAGGTTTTATGAGGAATCATTGGTTTCAGTATACGGTATACTTTCTCCTGAAATTTCGCTATTCTATTTTTCCGTAAGATGAATGTCTATTATTCCATAGTATTCAGTATGAAATTAAATAAAATAGTATTAAAGGAAAATCCTCCAGACAAACATTTCCTGGTTGGAAAATGCTAATGAAAGGCGATGTAAGACAAAATTACCAATAACAAATGTTACTGTGGAAACTAAACCAAAATTAACAATAACACAGCGATTCCAATGCGCCATTATACAATTCTATCTAAAAATTCTCTTAAAAGTTTGACGAGTTTCGAATGATTTTCTCCCTATATTGGAAATAAATGTTGCTAATAGCTCATCAAACAGTCTTTAACAAAGGTGGTAATTTCTTTCTAAATTACAATTGACAACCAGGTAGACATCTCATTTTTTTTCTTTCACACAATTTTAACACATTTATATTCATTACCTACTTCAAAACTATTTTAACACATTTCAAATGACATTTAAAGGAGAAGTGGTATTCAACGCGCATATAGAATTTCTATTGGAGAACTAAACTGAATTATAGTTTACAGTCCAACTGTTCTGTACTCTTAACATACAATAAATACACATTGTATACTGTCAGACCTCCGTTAGCTTTAGGTTCAATACAATTTGTTTCGTAGCTACAGAAGATTAAAAAACACATGGTATCAGAACAGGAATTTTCGTTTTCTTGTTTAACACAAGAAAATGTCAGCATTTGGTCAACATTTCATATGACACATCAAATGTCCTTACTTGGTGACATGTTCCCGTGTTTGAAATGGTACTTGTTAATGTTACAATGTCATTGTAATCCCTAGTCCGAAACATCTGTCTCTATTGCAGCCTCAGTAGTATATGTGTTTTCTGATATAGTGCATCCAGTTTGATCTGGTTTTTAAGATGGTGTCTTTTCGGATATGACGCATTTCACTTCTGCGCATGCGCAACTTTTTCAATGCGTCATATCCGAAAAGACACAACTGTTAAAATGTATTATAACAGACTTCCTCAAACTGTTAAAAAAAATATATTATAACAGACTCCATATAAATTACCCAAAAACCACAGACAAGAATCACTAATAATAATACAGTATGAAATAACCGCATTAAAAATGTCTTTAATTTTAAAACACGAAAAAAAAAATTCTTCTCTGCGCTAACATCTCTCATCCCCAAAGTGGTCAATTTTGTCTCAAACAACAAATTTCCTCAGGAGTAAATGCAGTGAAAAGATCTAATGATTCATTTCTATCGCTTGAATAGTTTTCTCCTTGTATTAAATCTTTCGTATTAAAAATATATGCTGTTTATTGAACAAATATGTCTTTAATAAATGTCCATCCTCCTAAAACGTATTTCGGTGCGGGAGACATTTAAAAGTCATTGGGTTCTCTTCCTGGATTCCCATGGGCAAAATATCCCGGAGAAAGACATCTCCCAGGGCACAATTATACAGGTCCAGGCACGAGATAAGATCTGCGTTTAGACGAAAATGATAATCCCAAGGGGAAGAACCCGTTAATAGAGTTGACGCAGCAGCGCTCAAACACGACATACTGTACAGAAACAAAGACGTAACATTCAGACACCAAGCAGACAAACAAATGATAGACGAACTCGAAAATATTCCCAATCCCACTTTCAAAGAGAAATTACAAAGGGCTCTTATCATAAAACTCTTGAAGGCAAAATTGAAATTGGGTATGGGCATAGCAGACGAGATTCACAAAGAATTTCGAAAAAACAAACATTACCTCAAAGTCAAAGTTTTTGATAAAGATGAAATTTGGTCAGCCGATTTAATCAACATGCCAGTCGAGAGAGGGTACAAGTATTGATTGACGGTGATCGACATATACACGAGATACGCTTGGGTCTTTCCCTTGAAAAACAAATCGGGTCTGACTGTCAAACAAGCATTCGAAACCATAATGAAACAATCCGACAGACGACCCCTAAAGTTGTGGGTTGATAAAGGAAGCGAATTCTACAACAGAAATGTGAAATCTCTGGGGTTTGAAATTTACAGCACGCATAACGAAGGTAAAGCCGTAGTGATAGAAAAATTCAACAGGACTCTTAAAAGCAAATTATTCAAGAAATCCACGGAATTGAAATCTCAAAAATGGCTTAAAATATTACCAGTTGTTGTCGACGAATACAATAACAAAATACATTCGTCTATAGGTGTGACGCCATCGCAAACCTCTAATAACCCGAATATCATAAAGTCCGTCAACACTCGAAACAACTTTGAAAACGAGATTAACAATTTGAATATTAAACCCAAATTCAAAGTTGGAGATCGAGTTCGTATTTTTAAATATAAATCATTGTTTCAGAAAGGTTACGTCGGCTATTGGACTAACGAGATATTCATCGTTGATAAAGTAAACAACACATCACCTCCCACGTATGAATTGATCGATCAAGACAAAGAACAAATCATAGGAAGGTTTTATCAAAATGAACTTCAAAAAACTGACTTTTAAAAATGAATCTCGAAAATGAAGATTTAGATGAAAGGTTAAGAAATTTAGATGTCGACAAGCATTTACGCTCTCTTAAATTAAGATTTTTTAAATTTAAATGTAAATTTATCTTCAAAATATTATTGAATGTGTTTTATCAGAATGTTATACAAGTTTTTTCAAACACAAACTACATATATATTTCGTCAATTGGGTCTTCAGCAATACTTACCACCTACTTCGAAAAACACCTAAAAAAAAATCAACTTAAAAAATGAATGCATTTCTCGATAAATACGGAAAAGACACGACCACAAACTTTCAACTTTTGAAATGGGCTAAGGAATTGAACGTCTCGCCGTTTTATTATTGCATGCGAGATGAAATTGATGAACTGAAATACAAGAAAGGTAAATTTTACGCCATCACAAACATTCACACGTCGGATCAAAAAGGAGTTCATCACTCTGCTCTACACAAAGATTCTTCGAATAACTTTTATTTCTTTGATTCTTTCGGTCTAGAACCGACAGAAGAGATAACGAAATTGACTAGCAAACCAATCAAATGTTCTACGTTTCAAATTCAAATGCCAGGACAAAAGCTGTGTGGACAGCTGTCGCTTTGGGTTTTATATCGGTTGAGTTTGGGAGAAAAGTTTGAAGAAATTGTAATAACTCAATAAAAATGGCAAACAAGTTTGGATTAGGGTCTTTACCTCTAGAATCTAAAAATCCCATGACGACGTCTTATTCAAGTGGATAAAACAAGTCAGTTGCAAAATTTAATATCTAAATTAGACGATAAGATTATGAAGGTAAAAATAGACGTCCAACGTTTAATAGACAACCCAAATGTAAACGAGGATAGATTGAAACGAAAACTAACCGCTTTGTAAAGAAAACTTGGCGAATTGCTAGCAGAACTAGACAAGACCGCGGACAAAACCGAGTTACAAAATTCGATATCCAATTTGAACGAAAAGATTGCGAAGCAAAAATCAGATGTTCAAGATATAATTAACACACTTCCCATTGACAAAGATAGTTGAAACGACAATTGACTGCTTTGGATACTAAAATCACGGACGAATTAGAAAAAGAAGTGGGTGTGATTAAAAACTTTCTTCAAAATAAATTTCGAGATGATATGAAAAATTATATTAAAGAACAGGTCAATCTTTTGGTATCTAGAATTCATGACGATTTTTTTTAGACAAGAGAGAAAGTTGACCAAATTAGAAGCTATTGTCACGGACAAATCGTATTATTTCAATCTTCCATTCGAAAGTGACACTGCCTTCGATGAAAAAGACCAAATTTATAAATCAAACAAATACGGATTCAAAGCAGAAATAAAAGTAGGTACTCTCGCATACGGAGAACCTAAAAACGTATTCGATATCGGCGAAACGCAAGAGTTTTCTTTTCGAGGTAATTGTCTGATTCAAATAGAATTTCCCATGAAGGTTAAAGTCAATAAAGTAGTCTTCAAACAAACTGGTAATGCCGTCAAACATATTTCATTATTCAATGATGGTAATTTGGAAGAGAATATACGTTTGATTGATAAAAGGGATCAGGAAATTGAAACGAAAAATGGTAAATATGTAGACACCTTTAAAATGGAAGTAGAAAATGATAAAGATATCATTGGAATCAAAGATTTAGATATGATATTGGAGCCGGAAAATCCACCATCAACCAACATTGTCAAAATTCCACGACGCTTACACGTACACAGAAAAATAGAATCGACCAGTCGCGAGTTTTTACGAACAACAGACTTTGAATACGTAAAACTATATTTCGCTTTAGGTGAAAAATACACCTCGATCGATGTTCATAAAAGTCAACAAGAAAGAGAGTTTATAGTGCATTTATCGTTTGCCGAAGACTCCATCCTTGAAGGTGGTGGTTTTATTTCTAGAGCCAAGATAAACATCGAAAAAGAAAAAATAAAATATTCCTATCATCTTAACGAGGACCATACGAAAAAAGAAATGTCGTTAGTACGCGTAAATGTTTTTACTTTTAATACCCGCAAATATAATAATGCTAGGCCAAACAAGCGCGCTCTATACGATATTCCGTGGTTCCATTTATCGGAAATTCACTTAATTTAACGACTTAAAAAATGGAACTCGAAAGCAGACAACAATACATGCTAGACAAACAAGAAGAGTTGAAAATAAAGTTGAGACAGTGCAATACATGCAGGAAAAAAAGGAGTAGAATCGATTCTTTTTTCAAAACAGCGAGCACAGTTCTAACGGTAGGAGTAACGGTGGCAACGGCCGTGACTGGTGGATTAATGCTTCCGGTCATCGTCCCAACCGTATTGGCTGCATTAACAGCCGTTCAAACGACTTCTTGCGGTCTCATCACTTTAGGTTTCACGAGCAAAAAGAAAGCCCATTATAAAAAGAAAACGGATATCTTGAATATGTATCTTAATCAATTGTACATCTTTTTCGAAAGATCGAGAGAAGACAAGAACATAACAGTTGAAGAATAACACGAATTCAATGAAATTTTGGACAAATTCCATACAGAAATATCAGCGGTCAAAATAAAGAAATAATAAAAAATATATACTTAAAAAAATATGAATAAAATCGAACTTGCAGACGATGAAACATTGATAGAAAACGCCCTATTTTCCGATGTTATCAAGGCTATCTCTGATAAATTTAAAACATTCACAGGACAAATTAAAATAGATGGAGAGATAGTCGAGGAAGGGAATCACAGACAATACTTGTCACTCCTCGGTTTCAATGCCAAAACTTTTCACAATATCTTTTCAAATATGGACAAAAAATCCGATGCTTCCGATTGGTATTTTACAGGAAAAATAATTTTAATGAAAGACAATTTCCAAGAAATAAAAAGATCGGGAGTTGGCAGAGGAGGAACTGATCTGCTTAAAAAGATCAATGAATACGAAGGCGAAAATTGTTACATACCTACAGATGGTCACTGTTTTATAAAATGCGCCAATCGTGTTTTAAACGAAGACTACACGAGAGAATTTCAAGAATACATTATTGGGTTTTCAAAAGCAAATAGAAAAGAAGTGATGACTTGTGCTAGAATGAAGGAATTCAACAAGAAATTCAACACTTCGTTTCAAATTTATAATCCCAAAAACAGACATTTTCATCCCAGAGACGTTCACGATGAATTAGATTGGGTTTTTTACTTACACTCGCATTTCTGTCTGATTAGAAGAAGCCAAAAAAGTTTGGGAATTCAAGAAATAGAAGACAATTACGAACAGGTGTGGAAAACGTGTAGAGACGATAACGCAGTAACACAGGTTTCACCTCTCAAACTAAACGTGCTTTCGAGTATGAGTGATGATGCGTTATTCGCTTGGGATTGCGAAACGTATTCAGAAAGAGACACGCGAAGAGCAATTCCTTATGCCTGCACTTTAATTAATTTAGAAAAACTAAGAAAAAAGTTAGAAACGATAAAAAATATCTTTCCAAATATAAATCCTACTGATAATGTTCCAGAAGAATTTTATGATAAACTAATGAATGTAGTAGAACTATTTGTAGGTACAGATTGTATAGATCAAATGTTGAAATATTTAGGTCAATATGATAGAAAGAGATTAATATTAATTTCTCATAACGGCAGTGGATTCGACAACTGGATCGTGCTTAAAAATGCAAAAAAACTAACGCATTGCCCTTTAAGAACACCCAGAGGAATTCTATCTTTTCCTTTATCTAATCCATACACGGATGAAGATTTACAGAAAAAATGGAAAAGACAGAAAGAAATAAAGGGTAATTATTTACAACATATTAATTTCACGTGTTCCTATCAACACGAATCCTCTAGTTTGGCTGCATGGGGAAATTCTTCCAATCTTCTCGCGAATTTGAGAAAGATTGCCGACGTAGATATCGCTAAATACACGCAAGACAACTGGGAGGAATTGAGACACGAATGGGAACTTTACGCCAAGAGAGACACTCTCTGTTTGGGAGCTTGTTTGATAAAATACAACCAAGTCACGAAAGAAGTTGTAAACCAGAATATGTCCAATAATCTAACGGCTCCATCTTTATCTTTAAAGGGTTGGTATTATTTATATCATTACGATAAAGAAATGGTGGAAGAAGAATGGTATGAAACTACTAGAATGGTTGCGAAACATACCGAAAAAGAAAACGTAGAAAAAGTTTATTCGCACACTAATCCTTTTATAAGAAATTTTATCAGACGATCTATTAAAGGAGGAAGAGTTTCGGCAAACAGAAAATCATTTGAAACGAACAAAATGGATGAAATTTGTAACGTATTAAAGGAATATATTTCACAAACAGAAAGTAATAACATAATTGATTTATTCAAAGAATACAGTGCAAGCACAAAAGACAAAACGGAGGTTCATTCGAGACTTAAAAAAATAGAATGTACTAAACTAATGGCATTTGATGCTAACGGTTTATACGCTTCCGCCATGTCGGATTTAGATATCCGAGAGCGGAAAGTGGAAGACCGTTTCTACCAGAAGAAGAAAAAGAATTTGTAAAACTCTTCAATAAACAAAAATTCAGACCTAGAACTGCTATTTTAACAGTGTGGTTTGACTATCCCAAAAACATATTCTTCCAACCGATACCAGCTAAAGATAAAATCACTTTCACGAATAAAGAAGGCAAAAAGGAAACTGGTAACAAAATCAGGTTCAGAAATGGTTTCTGTCACGACGTTTTAACATCGGTCGATATTCAAGAAATAGTGAAAGCCGGTGGACGAATTATTAGAATATTAGATGGTATAGTTTACGAAGAAAATTTTAAAACTCCACCCTATAGAGATTATATTTTAATTTTGAGAGATTTAAGAAATAAATATAAACGAGAAGGTAATATCGTGGGTAGTAATTGCATGAAATTATTAGGTAATTCCTTGTATGGTAAATCAATTCAGAAAGATATATTCACAACTAGACATTTATGGAATGAAGCAACTTTACAGGCCAACTTTGATTCACGCGTTAAAACCTATGAGAAAATTAATGATACTCAATATATTGTTGAAACAGAAATTGAAGAAAAAGAGATTACTACCGAAGATAGTAAATCTACACGACTAACACCTAGTCATTTGGGATCATTCGTTTTATCTCACAGTAAAAAAATAATGAACAATTTCATTCACGTCATAAATGGATTTTATAAACCCACAATTGGAAAAAACTAAACAGAGCTGGTTTGGTCTCCGAAAAAGACTATTGCAAAGGTAAAAACGATTACGGTGACGGTGGAATTATATTTGGTTTATATTTAGCACCAAAAGTCAAATACAACATCGTTTTGACTTCTGATGGTGTTTTAAAAGAAAAGAAAACGTTTAAAGGTTATTCTAATGATAAGATAAGTGTAGAAGATTACGTTCAGTTAGCAAGCGGACATGATGTGTCGAACGAATTTAATAAACCATGGGAAAAAAGTTTCACCAATGGAGTAGTTATTCCAAATGATAAACAAACTAAAGTTTTTAGAAGTTATTTGAATAATGTTAAACCACCAAACAGTGAAGGAATTATGTATCCTTACAACGATAAAGATGAGTATAGTTTTGACGAAAACTATGAATTTGATGATTTCGATTATCAAATTACTATTCAAGAAGAGAATGAAGATTGTTTTAAATGAAGTTGAATGACAATTTCTTCGTTGCCAAAGTCTATGAACCTGTTTTTACCGTCTTTGATTTCCAGATTTATATCTTTGATCATGAAAGAATTGACTGGTAAATAGGTCGTTTGAAACGGTTTCTCTATAATTCTGTATCCGATCGGCACCGTAAAAGTCGGTATGCTGTATATGATTTGGCGTTTGTGCTTGTTGAAAAATCCACCGTTGATCAAATTACAGTGAATGTTGATCACGTCGATGTCGTTCTCGATGTTGGCCTTGTGCGGCGCCAATGTCGATTGCGCATATATTCGTTTATCGAACCCTAGTAACGCATTCAACGAATTTTCTACGTTGAAATCGACTTGAACGTTATTTCTCAAGATCAGTTTCATTTTGTTCAGATTCAAATTACCTTCGAATTCGATATTGTTTTTGCCGTTCACGCTTCCTGCGTATTCGGATAGGTAATCGTTGATGGCCACGTGTTCGTAGCTTCCCGCTAGTAAGCTTATGGTTTTGAACGTAACTCCGTTATCCGTCGATATTTTTAGTTGATTGTTTTTTTCGTTGATGTTTCTAATGGAATCGTAAACGGAGAAATACTTTAATCCCAGTTCGTACTGTTTATTGCGATCGAGGTCATACTCGTAGTCTAGAGACAATTTGATGTCTGATTTATTCGAGGTGATAACGAACAATTGTTCTTTATTGGACATTTTTAATGACGTTTTTATAGTCTTTTTTACTGATGATTTTTTTCTCCAAAAGCCGTTTTAATATGCCATTGACTTCGTTGTATTGTCTGTCCGATCGATGACCTTCCTTCATGGCCGCTAATATTATTTCTAATCTATTAAGCAATTCTTTATTGTTGTCGGATAAAAACGTTATACCTTGTCCAGATGCCACCATATCATCGAATTCGTCTATTTCTTGTATGATTGGTGGATAATCTTCTGCATAATCATTTACCTCCTCTTCCTCAATAACTTTTGTTATATATAAATCAACTTCTTTCAATCTTCTTGTTTCGGGTCCTGACTTTCTGATCGCATGTAGAAATTTTGAGTATGCTACTAAATCCTTGTAATCGGCAATTTCAACATCCTCGCCATTCATAAAATCTATTAACCCTCTCGTTAATGTAAATATAAAGTCTTTTGTGTCGATTTTGAATTGTGGTGAATTCCA